ATACACACGTTCAATTATCTGACACACTTCACATCATCAACATGATCAGTGATAAACCAACATGGCTTTATATAAATCAGTACTTTCATTATTATGATAAGTTTTTATCGTGTCATTTATGTTCACAATAACTTTATACAACAAAAGAGCTGATGTACTTATTTGTATTAGATCATCCCCCTATAACAGTACTGCTTTTGTTTTACATGTTCCTTTTATTATGAATTTTTGTTTTTAAAAAAAAATTCTTCAGCACATTAAATTAATTGTTATTAATCTTTTTTTTCTTACATTTATGAAATTTATTTCTAAAATATCATTCTTCTTCAAACTGGAAACAGAGAAACTCTTCAACACATTCTTTTCACCTTATCATAGAAAAAATAGTTTACCACTGCAGAAAACAGTTTGCTGCAAAAGAAAATGGCTTACTTACTAATAAAAAAGTCATTTATTACATAAGACACTAGTTACTACTGAAGAACATGGCTTACCACTGAAGAAAACTGTTTACCACTGAAGAAAATAGTTTTACCACCGAGAAGAGAAATCCACTACGACATGACTAACATACTGACAGTACTTGATTCTAGCACCCAAAATGTCAACTTTTTTACACCATTGTTTGACACAGGTGTAAAAATTTAATTAGAGGTAAAAACTTAAAGCCAGCTTAAATGCTGATTAGACTCACCCATTGTACATATACACCATTGCATTTCGATCATTTTAAAAGTAAATGACCAAGAGCTCAGTAAAAAATACTTCTTTGAAAGGTTTAGTTTATAAAACCGTACTTCATCTCAATGTGATTAATTTTTTTGTAAAGAATGATATTCTATTGTTAAGATTACCCTATAGTAATCAGCAAGATTTCAGAAACACCTTGACATAGATCTGGCATTTTCGGTGACTATACCTATCTATTACTGTAGAAGCAATGCCAGAAGTTAGTTATAAACTTTCTGTTGACATGTATACAACTATACAGTCTTATCTACATGATCTACCGTACGACCCAAAAACCAAGAGACATACTTCTAACAAGTTCAATGAAAATTGTACCTGATTTACAACTTTCAGTCCACACAACAATTTTTCTAGATCTACAAGTATGTCAAATAAGACCTACTTTTTTGACAGGAAACACTGAGTGATGGTACTAACCATCCTTTTATTATCTATTGGTCAAATGGAGGTCAGATTCACCTGATCGTTTGGTCAATTTGACTGGACATTAACAGAGGTCAACAAGAGCCATGACACCTGCAGGATCATAAGACTGTCATAACGATATAACCCGCCCTGCATACAATTGTACAAATGTTTCTATTGCAGTAATATTACTTCTTTTACTTGCTTTAATAGTACATAATGCTAACTTGATGTACACTGTTTGAATGATAAGCGTATAATTCCAGTTCCATGAAATGGCTGTCTGGGACAGTCTCTTACAGGGAACAACTTGGATTCATCTTTAATGATCTAAAGCTAAGAAACACTGCAGAGAAACTTTTTTTTTAGGTTTTCAGGACAATAGGCTACGACATTTCAATAAATCAACAAATGATCTACCAGGCATAAAAAAAAATCGCTGATAGAGATCAGGTAATCATAGTGATGTCATAAGTATGTCAATAAACGAAGATCTGTCACAGGGTGATGCCGCCTGACTTTGATGTTTCTCGGTACACCGACTATCTCTGTATTGTCTATTGTTTAAATGTTTACCATTTCTAATGGCTTCCTGGTGAAAATTATTGCATTATTAATAACCGACATTACTTTGACACAAATGTTTATCTACTGTGTCTTTTGTCCAATTTTAAATTCTGATTAGTTTATAGCAACTCCGCAGTACTTTTTTTTTCAATCATTAGTAAGCAAGTTATATAGGAAGACACCTATTAACTGATAAAAGTTAATTTGATTGAATTCACTTTGCAACATATATTTTCAAATTGATTTACATAAAAGTATAGAGACAGATACAGTTTATTTGCATTGAGAATGGGAACATTTCTGGATCTATTACCCTTATTATCTTAATGACACCCATTAAAGCAATTCTAACAAAAACTGCATTTATAAATCATGTTGGACCTTCCTATTTAAATGTTAGAGATTTAAATTCTTGTCATATCTCAAAAATGATTTGCAAATTTTAAATCATAACAAAGCTCTTAAATGGTGATTTTTACAATGCATCTGCTAAGTGCTGTAATATTATATTCCTATCTTACATAATTATGTAATTTTGCAAATTTTAAAGCTTTCAACTTCTACTTCTCAGAAAAACTGAAAAGAGGTTCAGTCCTTGGTGAATATAACTGTAACAATAAGGAAAGAACGTCAACTTTGTCTATCAAAGACAGAAAAACAATCCTCTATTATTATCATTCTCTCAGAAAAGCTCCTCAGAAAGAATGACCTGCATAACCATAACCCACCACCACCAATCCTTTTTAAATACAGGGCAGGAATGTGCTCATTTAAAAATCCTCCTCTGCACAAAATCATAAGAGATTCAGAAGAATGTAAATGTTCCCCTTCATTTAATGACTTATGAGAATTTCCATAAATGGACTTCTACCTAAATAGATTTACGATAAAATGGATTTAAGGTAACTTTCAGCTTCTTCACAGTTTTAGTCCACACCAACTCATGGTATGAATGCATGTTACTTGTAATTAATATCTATTTCCTTTTCAGTTTTAGTTCACATCAGTGAAAAAAAGAAGTTACCCAGCTAACACACATAATAAATTCATACTCACAGTGAAGTAAGTTTTATTCCTTACAGTTTTAAAACATGGTATGAACTCTAGTCTCTTCTGATACAAAGAATCATGCTTATAATAAATCTAAAGTGTTCCTCTCTTGTGCTTTGCTTTAAGTGTGTTTATTTATAACACTATATCATATTGATGATAAACAATTGACCTTCAGTGCTCCTTCTACCAAAAAAAGCCATGGCAAAAAGGGTCTTTTATGAAGAAATTGCTTCTTATCTAATACTCAAAGAAAAAATGCAATATCAAGGATTTTTCTTTACAAGTTTAAGCTGACTTAAAATATTGCATAAAAATTCAAATTTATATCTATTTTAAAAATTTCTCAATTTGCTTTTAGAAGTCCAATCTGCTGATTTCAAAGACATTTACTCATCTGTTTCATGGTTACTTTTGACTTAAACACGAGTACCGTTATGCAGCAAGAATTACTAAGGAGGGAGTACATTTATTTATACAAATTTTTTCTCAGAAAGTGAATGGGATTGGGAAGCAGACAAAGCCTATTTTAGCCCTCTCCCTAAGGGGAGTACGTTCTCGGGGTCGAGATAATCATTGAATGAACACACATAGGTATGCAACTTTATCAACTTCTCAAAATTGCAAAAAGAAAAAAAGAAAAATTAACTCTGTTGTATATCATACATTAGAATTGACCATCAATACATAATCAATCTGTCAAATAGAGAAATAAAAATTCCTGGCAAACAGCATGAGACAAATTGTAGATAACTTTTACAGCAAAAAATCTTTAATGTAATTTTAACCCTCTTGCTTATTGGCAGGTAGTAAGGAAATTCCTTGTCCATTGAGCACTTAATTAATGATAGGATTGAAGTAAAACATTTTAGCAATCAAGATTTAGTATGCTAATGTCAGATGTCTTCGGTATAAAATATTTAACGAAGAATGAGATAAGGTGTACCTGCAGAAGTTTGCTGTTGAATTTGTGGAATAAACACTTAATTTATGTAAATACTTCCTTCATTCAAATAAAATTATAAAAAGTACAATGAACTTTAATATTTAATTAAACATATTACAAAACATGTTTTTTTTTTGTTTTTTTTTTTACGACATAATAAAAAAAACCTGCAGACTAGTAAAGTAGACAAGAACTAGTCCGTCTGGAATAATGACTAGAAAAGTTTATGTTGAACCCTACATTTTTTTTTAAAGTTTTGATCGACAAACATTCATCTGGTCCTGTATAAAAGGATCATACTGTCCGTCGGAATAACCAGTGTGAAAGGTTTTTTTTCACGAACATTTACGTTTTTTTTAAATATAGAAACCATAATTACAGGTTGCATGGATCTATACAATGTGGCTTGATTATTTTGTGAATTTCAACTACTTACAAGACGGGTGGGATTAGCTACACTCCACTGCAAATGACACCTGTGAATGTGTATCATACACACTTCTTTCGTGAAGTTACAGTACCCCGATTTGTATGTTAATTAGTTCAACTGTTTATTTAAGCTTTACACATATTAAAAATTAATTTTTATGGCATTTTACATAAAACCATTTGTGGTTTGTTTTTAATTCATTGCAATAAAGGCTTGTACTTTGTTCAGATAGAAACTAACCTTCTGCAAATTAAGACTAAGTCATTATATAATTTTTTTTGAGACATAAACTATTCAACTTGGACTCTATCTTCTTAAGAAAATTATAATCCTGGGACTCAAAGTAACAATATCCTAATGAGCACTCTGATAAACAGGTTATTGACATAGATATCACACTGAGATCAGAAATGAACAAGTCTTGATGACAGTGTCTCTTCCATTTCCGCTCATTCAAGTCAATCTTACCTCAAATCGCGGCCTTGTTAGACTGGAGTAACTTTCACTTGAACTAAAAGAAATGCCCCCTCTTCTTCCTAATGCTTTCTGCGGAACCTGTAGATCTAAAGAACGTGGTTTAATGCAGTTTAATTCTCGACTACATACTTCCATAGCAATATTTTTTGCAATCAATGGGGGGCAGGACATGTCGTTCATCAACTGTTTCGAATGAAACATGAACTTGTTTGTAGTTCGTTTCGCAGAATTTAATTTATCAGATATACAAAAAAATAATAACGTGACATTTATTATCCAAAATAAACGTCTTTTAATGGTCGGTATGAAAACATTATTTTAATATTTTTTTAATCCGGAAATTACTTTCATGATGTTTTGTATTTTATTTTTACATTTAAAGTCACATGACACAAACAACTTTCACATGATCAAATAATGTAAAATGATTTCTGTAAAGGTAATTCTTTATTTTTTATGTTTTGTTAATGATTAAAGGATTGTTGCCATGCGAAATGTTTTAAAAGAAATATTTTTAAAACGTCCAGGGCAGACAGCACTGCAGATTTATTTTAGTTTCTAAAAGTTACTGGGATTTAGAGAAAAATTTATAATTATTTCAAAAAATGATACAATCTCACTGAATGTATTTATTGTTATATTGACATTAATTTTAAGTTTCTATGAAGGAGGGATTTTTGTTGTATGATGTCTGTATTTTTTATCACATTGTGTTTACCTGTTTGGTGACTGTATTCTTTTAAGAGAAAGGCCAAGCTTTGGGGCAAAAGCCTGTCCACTTCTCTAAAGAGCTAGAATACTTTGGCAGCATCCTAATTATAATAAATTGTTTCTTTTTTTGTTATATTTTGTAGAACTTTGTTATTTTATTCATCAACTTAATCCTGGTGAATTCTCGAGGTAAGTGAAATTTAATTATGCTTTGAAATGAAATTCAGTATCCTAATTAGCATTAACCATAGTAGGTTAATCGTGACCCTTGCTACATTCATTATGAAGCATTTGTCAATAGACTTTTTCACGGAAACTGCATTACTGCTCTTTTGCAGGGAAAAATGATATAGTTTGGTAAATATGACGTAAAAGTAATTGTTTAATATACATCATTTAATTATCTGTCAACAAAAAATTCGCCAAAAGTTATTATTTTGCCCTTCTATTCAATTTTCAAATCAACATCTTCAAATTATGATACAGTTTATGTTTACATTTTTTCCAGATTTTAGAAATGAATGCATTTTGGATTTTTTCAATTTATAGCAGCAAAACGACATGGTGGTTGCTAACAGTACTTTAGCATCTTAGGAATTAATTTGAATTAAAACTGTTTAGGGAGCTTAATGTCCTGTTTTACAGAGATAAAATACAAGTCAAGAAATACTACAGACCTTGTGAATCATTTGAAACAAAAACATTTCCACGAACATTTCTCATTTAGATTTTGAGTCCCTGTCACATTTAAAACCAAAGGCTTCAGCAGGAAAACAAGAGGAGGCGGCCAGACAATTATTCCAGCGAGTTCTGGGATCTCGAGCTAATGAGTTTAAGGTCAAAATCCAGACAGATCTAGGGCCAAAAGAGAAGGATACATTTGTCGTAAGTCACCAGCATGTGTTTATGAGAATCTTAGTAGTTAACTTGGAGGGTTACATGTTTCAGATGAGTTCCAGAATGTGACCTGTTTATACTTTGATGTCAGAATTACTCACAAAAGTTTTTGTTTTATTGTTCTGTGTAGATCAATACACAGGAGAAGTATGTTGAGATTGTGGGAACGACAGGCGTGGCGTCTGCGATGGGGCTGTACTACTACCTCACTAACTACTGTAACTGTCAGATAACCTGGGGAGGGAGACAGCTGGCTATCCCCTCACCCCTCCCTAAAGTCAACGGAGGCAGTGTGAACATCACAACTAATGATAAGTATGTTTATTACTAAACAAGAGGACTCTAAAATAAAATTATGCTTTATTTCTGATTTTAGGGGAAAACAAACAGAAAATACAAAGTAAAAAAGGAAGTAGATAAGGGACATTTAATATTATTTTAAGATACACATACAATGATTCACATTCACATGAAAGATTTAGTAAGTGTAGTTACAATTGATCTCCTTGATATTGTCTTGATAAGTGCGGACAGATTAAACTTTGTAGAGGAAATCTGTTCCTAACTCACTGTACTTCTTTCCTTGACCAATTTTTCTTAACCTTTTGACTTTGTCCTTAGAGTTTGACTACTTTTGAAAAAAATCTTAAATTTTCGTTGTTACTTTTGATGCTAGGGCTTTCGTATATATTTCGTCATGTGTATCTTATAAGACCTTTGATTTGTTTCCAATGTTTTTGTACTCATGACCTTGTACATGTAGTTTGACTTACATTTGAAAAATGCTAACTTTGACCTTGAGCTTGCATACATGGGGCATAAGTGTTTCACAACTACACTGTTTTTTAGCTCACCTCAACGAAGTTGGGGGAGCTTATGTAATACCCTCGGCGTCTGTGTTGGCGTCGGCTTCCCGGGTTAAGGTTAAGGTTTTTGGAGCAGTTTTCTTTTTAAGTACTTCTATGTCCTATATTGATTAGACATGCATGGAATATGCTTCTAATGTGTTTCATTTTACCAGTCAAAGTTTCAGATGCTGCAATTTCAGCAAAGGAATGACCAGGTTAATGTTTTTGGAGCTGGGGCCCGTTTTACAAAAGAACTTACAACTTAAGACCAAATTTAGTTCTTCGTATAAATTTTTAAATAACAATATACTGAAAATGATTTTAATCTTTCTAAAAGGAATTTAGTAATCTGTTTTCACAATAGCAATTTTAGACAGAATCATTATAATTTTTGCAAAATGTTACAGTCATCCGAAGTTTTTTGGTTTTAGTCGTAAGTTCTTTCGTAAAACAGGCCCCAGGTTAACATTTTTGATGCAGTTTTTGCTGTAGGTCTCATTTCCAAGAAACTATAAGCCCTATGTTGACCAAACTTGCATGGATGATACATCTAAGGATGTACACTACCAGACTTGCTTCAGATGCTGAATCTGACCTACATTTTCCGGTTTAGTGAACAGGTTAATGTTTTGGGTGCAGGTCTCATTTCTAAGTAATTATAAGCCCTATGTTGACCAAATTTGCATGGATGATACATCTAAGGATGTACACTACCAGACTTGCTTCAGATGCTGAATCTGACCTACATTTTCCGGTTGAGTGAACAGGTTAATGTTTTTGGTGCAGGTCTCATTTCCAAGTAACTATAAGACCTATGTTGACCAAACTTGCATGGATGATACATCTAAGGATGCACATTACCAGGCATGCTTCGGATGCTGAATCTGAGCTACATTTTCTGGTTGAGTGAACAGGTTAATGTTTTTGGTGCAGGGTTCATTTCCAAGATACAATGAACCCTATAATGACCAAACTTGCATGGATGGTACATCTTAGGATGCATACTACCAGACTTGCTTCAGATGCTGAATCTGACCTTCATTTTCTGTATGAGTAAACAGGTTAAAGTTTTTGATGCAGGATTCATTTTCAAGTAACTATGAGCTCTTTAATGACCAAACTTGCATGGATTATACATCTAAGGTTGCATTCTACCAGGCTGGCATCAGATGCTGAATCTGACCTACATTTTTTTCTAAGTAACTATTAGCCCTATGTTGTGCAAACTCACCTGGATGATACATCTTAGGATGCATACTAATGGACTTGCTCCGGATGCTGAATTTGACATACATTTTCCAGATAATGGACCAGGTAAAAGTTATGGGTATAGGTCTATTACCAAGAAACTATAACGCTTTAATAAACCAAACTTGCCCATGATGATGCATCAAGGGATGAAAACTCTTAAACTTGCTTCAGATGCTGGATTTTGATCACATTTTCGTGATGAAGAACTAGTTTGAAGTTTTTATATTGGTCTATTCCAAAGTATCAGATCAAAATTGCATAAATTTTGCATTTTGGAGGTACACTTTTTGTTGGGTAATTGTGTGACTTTGCCCTACTTAAAGTCAACATTCTTTGAGGTGAGCTCTGTAATCTCTGATTACCTATGTTTTTTCTTTGTCAGGTTCCGGTTTTTCCAGAATGTGTGTACAGTTAGTTATTCCTCAGTCTGGTTTCAGTGGAAGGAATGGGAATCCTACATTGACTGGATGGCCATGAGAGGAATCAATATGGCTCTGGCATTCACTGGACAGGAAGCCATATTCCAGAGGGTGAGTTTCTGGAAAGCTTTGTAGATTAAATTTTCATATATATATATTTTACTTATGTTAATTGTACTTAATTCATCTTGTAGGTGACTTGAATATTTACCATGCCTATTTGTGGAATAGAATAATCTTGAATTTACATTTGAAATTAAACTGACAAGTCTATCCTGAAAATAATTACAAAATTTTTTGTACATAGATGTAGGTTTACACAGTGATGAAGTTCTTATTGTTTTTGACACAAAGGTTTACATGGGGCTTGGTTTTACCATGGAGGATATGCAGAATCATTTTGGTGGACCGGCCTTCTTAGCTTGGTAAGACTTGTCATAGTATTTGCCCGTATCTTTGAAAAGATTATTTTTTCTTAAAAGAATATATGCTATGGTATAGTTTAAGGTAATATGAGACAATAATAAGTTACATGTGTGAAGAAAGTCTACATATATTATCAGTTGAACAGAGTACATGATAAACACAGCTTTATTGTATCCTCATTACATTTGTATCAATCTTGGTCACATCTTCAGGTCGCGGATGGGTAACATGCACGGTTGGGGCGGTCCTATCACACAGAACTGGATCGACGATCAGCTGATCCTACAACACAAGATTCTGGACCGGATGAGATCCCTGGGAATGATCCCCGTACTCCCGGGATTTGCTGGCCATGTCCCTGAGGCTACAATTCTGTAAGTCAATCTGTAGAGGAAAGAAATGAATGCTGATTGTTTTAATGAAACATATGAAGATAACGAACAGTATTCAAGATCAAAAGTCCATAAAACAATACAAAACAGGGGCAGAGCAAACACAGACCTCCAAAACATCGAAGGTGGGATCAGGTGCCATGGAGGAGTGAGCATCCCCTGCTGACCAGTCACACCCGCCATGTGCTCCTTGGCATGATCGGGAAATAAAAGAAAATCTGTTGTCAATTCAGTGTGTAAATAATGGACTAACAATTAGTATGATAAACATCAGTCAGCATTTGACTCAATGATGAATTGCATTTGCTGACAAGGTCATTGTATCGACCATTGAACTTACTAAATGATGACCTTAAGTGAGACTGTTGATATTCATGTGTCATCAACTTGTTTGTCAATAATTTACCTCGTTTTAGAAATTGTTCATACATAGAGCATGCTCTTGTGAATGGAAGTTAACTTTGAAACCCATTCTTATCAGAAAGTGATGGAAGCTTGTGAGGGTCACTTTAAAAAGTGTAATTAGTAATTACTAAGAATAAGTCAATGTAAATTTTCTTTGTATATAACTATACAGAAATTTTGACCAGCAAAGTTCTTATTCTGCAGAATTTCATAAAAATGCTTGATTTTGTCAAATGTAGAATGTACAAAAAATTAAGAGTTTACATTAATACACATTGTTTATGTTGAGCGAGATAATATCTTGCTGCCAGATACATATAGATTTGTACAGTAAGGAGATGTATTTCCAGGAGGTACCCCAAGGCTAATGTGTCCAGACTGACTGACTGGGCTGGTTTTAACCAATCCTATTGCTGGTAAGTCCAGAGTTCCCCTAATACCTTCACTTCCTTGGCTTTTTTTCCAGGCACTACCCTACAGCCAACGTGTCTCGCCTCCGAGACTGGGGACACTTCAACAAGACATACTGCTGGTAAGGCCACATATCCCACAATTCTCCTCAATTCCTCTTGCTTTTATTCCAGACATTTCCCCACGGCCAATGTATCTCGAATGCGAGACTGGATGTATTTTAACAAGTCGTACTGCTGGTAAAGTAATGTGTACACATAGAATGGTGGCCTATGGGTGTAATATATACACAGATGTCTTGTTATATAGGGTTGTGCAAAAGAATCAAGTTGACTGTTATTTAGGTGTATAGCTTTGGAGACATTGTAATGCAGAAATTGTAATTGTTTGTCTGTTTATCTTTTTTTCTAGGTGTCTGTTAAACTTACTTAGTTTGTATTCCCTTAAGGTCTGATTTAATCTTAAATCCTTTTATCAAAAAATGTTATGCTGTGTATGTTCATATCCCATACTTTTTATATTTTATATTGGACTGAAAATCCTTCTGCAGGGTCTCTTCCTGACTGAATTTATCACACAGCGGGAATGTTTATGTCACTAACATTTGATATTGCTTGCTTTTAACATGTCCCAGTGCTTTATGAAATTGATGATTTTATACCATGGTGATTAGCTACTCTAGAGTAGCTGCATGTAGTTAATGTGCTTACAGCCTTATAATTTGTAAAATCAGTTTTGATTGCTGTAAATCCCAGTACACCGTTGACGGAACATAGATAATAAATAGATTACTAATATTATATAGATTTAGACTGATTTGTTTGTCTAGTTCGGTATTTCTTCAGTACATTTGATGAAGAGATGCACAGCCACAAATTTCATATAAAGATTTTTTCATTATAACTGTAAATCTTGTTAGATAGAGAACATCTAGTGAAGAGACGCTCTGAATTTTATTTAATATTTATTTGGTTTATAGTAACTACCTATTGGACTTCAATGATCCCCTGTTTATGAAGATTGCAGTTCGTCTTATAAAAGAGGTATTTCAAATTTTTTACTTCTGTCAAATTAACCAAGATAAAACTAAACCTATTATATATGTGTAAATTAAAGATCTTTTTTGAAAAAAAAACTGCAGTAGAAATGATTGATTGTGTGTTTTATATCGACAGATGGAGTATGAGTTTGGTGTAGATCACGTGTACAGTGTAGATACTTTTAATGAGATGGAACCACGGTCTAAGTGAGTACAATTTATTCTGTATATTAAACACAGAGTCAAATTATCATCCATTAAATGGATACTGGTTAAAGATGGATTACAATACATGTATCCCTAGATATACTAGTAGTTTCAGTTAACTTTTTCATGATTTATTGTCCATAAACTGTCACAACTTCCATACAGAACTGCATTGTACAATATTAACTAATATCTATATCACATGTACAGTGTAATTGTTTCTTTTTCTTGTCAGTTCCACAGAATATTTAGCTCTGTCAGGTCGTACGATATACAAGACTCTGAAAGAAGGAGATCCTAAAGCCATCTGGTGAGTAGCAAAACATTTAAATCATGATTCAAATACATTTATTACAGTTAATGTATAAAAGTTACCATGACTCTAACTACTTATATAGGTTGATGCAGGGATGGCTATTTATAGATGAAGGATTTTGGAAACCACCACAGATGAAAGCTCTTTTGACATCTGTTCCACAGGTAACCTTCAGAAAGTCTGGGTTCACTATCTAAGGAATTTTAATCTACCTGAGTGATGTGTAAATTATACTTCTCAAACAGCGTTTATGAATCATCCAGCTCTCTCTCTCTCTCTGAATCTTCCAAAAAAAGATAAGGGCTGGGGTGCATGGGGGAGGGGTTGGAATTAAGATATCAATAAGTAAGTTACTACAGATGTTTCTTTATGTTATGTTTTTGTGTTTTTCCAGGGGGAGATGATCATCCTAGATCTGTACTCTGAGATCATCCCTATCTTCACCCGGACGGAGTCGTACTACGGTCAGCCATTTATCTGGTGTATGTTACATGACTTCGGAGGGACAATGGAGCTCTATGGAGCCCTGAAACTGATTAATGAGGTAAAATACAGGAGTGCTGAAACAAACTATTGATGGTTTTGCAAATAAAAATGAATATTTTGATTTAATGTCAATTGTTTCAGGGCCCCTTCAATGGCAGGGCCTACCCTAACAGCTCTATGATTGGTTTGGGAATGACCCCTGAGGGAATCTTCCAGAATGAGGTCATTTATGAATTCTTCACAGAAAATGTGTGGAGGAAAGAACCCCGAGATATATCGTCATGGTAGGTATTTATTTACTGACGCATTAATCTTGAATATTAGTAGTTTTTAAAAACCAGATCTATTTTCTTAGAAAATAAAATGTTTTCTCATTTTAAATAATTAAGCAGTAGCCATATTTCTACTAATTCTCTTTTCCTTTAGTCAGAATATACTGTTACAGGATCACATTAGAATTCTTTTTTTTTTTGCAGGATTAGCAAGTATGTCCTGAATAGATACGGGAAGACAAACAAGTTTATAGATCTGGCCTGGCAATATCTGAAGGTAAGAAAGCAAGTTACTAAATAATTCTAAGTATTTGGGATCAGCTTAGAACATAAAAATGCTTGTCACACTGTTCATGTTCTTATAACTTCAACTGGTATTTTGGATCAGCCTTTTACTGTAAACATACCTGTATATAACTGCTTATTTGTGTTAATGTTATATCAAGTGAAACTGTCGAAAAATCTTATAATCTTGAATTTTGTAATGATGCCTTTAGAACATAAAAATGCTTGTCACATGATGATTCTAATGCACTGCTTGTAAACATACCTGTATATAACTGCTTATTTGTGTTCATGTTATATCAAGTGAAACTGTATCTTAATCTTGAATGTGATGATGATGAAAAATAATGCATGCAATATACTGCATGCATACTAATGTTGAAAACTGTAAGACAAAAAATGGTCCATCTTTCTGGGTATCAACATCATTTTAACATTGTTCGTGATGTCCTCACTATGCAAAAAAAATTCTTTTGTCTTGCACATGTCTTTTACTTACTCTATAATTATTCACTGCTCACAGTGTAGCAATTTTAAATAAAATATATGTTGAAATAAGATGCTTCTCTGCTTGAAAAAATTTAGAAAGATTAAAAATTTTGTGAAAGAGATTCCAGAATTGTAAAGAAATTTTAGAAAGATTAATACCAGTAGCTTAAAGATACAATGTAATTAAGAAAATTAAACAGCTTTGTTTTAAAGTAAATAAATTAATATTTTCAGATAAATTTATAATTTTTAGTGATGTGATCATGTTTGACTTGATTTGAACTTTGACCTCTCTCTATTAGAACAGTGTGTACAACAATTCAGACAATCTTAAGGACCATGATTCCCAAACTATCCCCGTTACCCGCCCCCGTCTCTCTCCCATGCTGAAACCTGACGTAAGTACCTAGTCAGGGTCTCTAATGTGTTTGTTCTGTGTTTGTATAGCTTGGGGTTTACAACAACACTGATTCTCTACATGACAACAACATAGACATTATAGTCACAACATTACCCAGAATGACTCCATTGATTCAGCAGGATGTAAGTACATGTGTACCCATAGGAGTAGAATCCTCATCCCACTTCACATTTTCCTTTATCACTTTTTCCACATATTGTACATGCATATGATAAACATTATAAATATATTTGATAAGGGTGTAGACAGGTTTACACTTCATATTTATTAAAATTTTAGTAGAATCTCATGACTTTAATGATTGAGAGCATTACAGATCAAATGTTATAAAATTGTGTATTGAAACTTTGCTCACTTAATATTATCAAAACTGCGAATTTCAGGTGTGTTTGTTTTTCATGCATCCTTGCACTTTCACAAAACTAAAGAGCTGTATGCATTTTATGCAAATTTTTGCTCCCATAAGTCATATATTGAAAAGAAATAACATGTGCTGAATTGATTATATTGTATGAATAAATAATATATGTGTGATTAAGATAGAGTTGTTTCCCTTTAGGTGTGGTTTAACCCTGAGGATTTGTATGTTGCCTGGGATATAATGACCTTGAACTTAGACGACTTCAGCAACAGCTCTCTGTTCATGTAAGTAAAGATAACTAATAAAGATATCAGGAGTTCAATTTGCATGTAAAATGATAAGTCTGTTTTTTTATACATGAACATCTTTGTTTGTTGTTAGTGTGAAAAGAAGGTTTTTATGCAGCTTTTCATGTTTACAGTTGATTTACTAATGCCACATGTTTTTGTAGGTATGACATAGTGGATGTGACCCGTAACAGTTTACAGATCTTGTCCATTAAATACTACACTGATTTAGTTTATGCCTTTGGTCGGGGAGATATTAATGCTGTAGAGTAAGTCATATGTTTTTAAAACAGTTCACCATAAATTTCAAGCATGCACAAAATTTTTACAAGTTATTTTTCTCAAAACTTCATATATTCTGTAATTATTTCTCATTTTCACTGGGAAAGAAATACACTCATTTCTTGTTTATTTTCAGATCTCTTGGGAATAAATTACTAGGGTTGCTGAGTGACATGGACACAGTGCTGGGGTCGGATTCTCACTTTCTGTTGGGACGCTGGTTGAAGGCAGCAACAGACAATGCTATGGACATGCAGGATAGCTGGTTCCTACAGTTTAATGCTAGGAACCAGATTACACTGTGGGGCCCTAGAGGGGAGGTTTGTCTCTCAAAAAAATATCAAACTCATGCTCAGATTAATCTGCTTGGGTTCAATTGAAAAGAAATAAAGAATATAACTTCTGTATGATAAATGCAAATGGAAGATAGCAAACAGTCTTGTTACAGATTACATGTACATGCTTTGAAGCTTTGACGTGTGGCAATTCTCTTACGTACTTTTTAAGGTGAAAATTAACAATTTAAACAATGGACCTATTTTATGTTTTGTAGATTCGAGATTATGCTTGTAAACAGTGGTCTGGACTTATAAAGGAGTAAGTATATATGATTCCTTTGTGTCTGCTGAGCTCAAAGTTAAACATTGAAAACCATGACTTTTCCACAGATCTAATGATGTTTATTATTTTGGATTTTTTTCTTTTAGCTATTACTTACCTCGGTGGGAGATATTTGTGAATTACACAATGGATATAATGATACATGTAAGTCAGAGGTGAAGGTTAACTTACCTTTATAAATCACAGGTATAGTGTTACCTGGTCGGCAGCTGTGTTATGCAATGTTAAAAAAATTGCTTACCTCAACAATTATTGCAAGTTGTGGAATTATAGATTTTAAAATTATTTCTTGCACATACAAAAGGTTTTTTCCTTGTAATGTATCAAAGAACAATAAATGAAATATATAGTGTAGGTAGACTTTTTTATGTTATATTATATTCTTTTTCAGAATAAAACTTACAATGCCACTGAGCTGGATATAATGATATACGATAAAGTAGAGTTTCCATTTAGCTACAGACTCGACCAGTATCCCACAGAACCCCAGGGTAAGGACCAGATGTTTACTAGTGCGCAATTCCTCAGGATAGGTTAGGGATCAGTTATTAACTCTGCTACAATTCCTCAGGATAGGTTAGGGATCAGTTATTAACTCTATTACAATTCCTCAGGATAGGTTAGGGATCAGTTATTAACTCTGCTACAATTCCTCAGAGTAGAGTAGGGATCAGTTATTAACTCTGCTACAATTCCTCAGAGTAGAGTAGGGATCAGTTATTAACTCTGCTACAATTCCTCAGAATAGAGTAGAGATCAGTTATTAACTCTGCTACAATTCATCAGAGTAGAGTAGGGATAAGTTATTAACTCTGCTACAATTCCTCAGAGTAGAGTAGGGATCAGTTATTAACTCTGCTACAATTCCTCAGGATAGGTTTGGGATCAGTTATTAACTCTGCCACAATTCCTCAGAGTAGAGTAGGGATCAGTTATTAACTCTGCTACAATTCCTCAGGATAGGTTAGGGATCAGTTATTAACTATGCTACAATTCCTCAGAGTAGAGTAGGGATCAGTTATTAACTTGCTACAATTCCTCTGTTACAATTTCTCAGAGTATAGGAGGGATTAGTTATTAACACTGTTACAATTCCTCAAAATAGGTTAGGTGTCAGTTATTAAATGTGCTACAATTCCCCAGAGTAGGGAATGGAAGAGTTATTAACTCTATTACAATATCCCAGAGTAGGGAAGGGAACAGTTATTAACTCTATTACAATTCCTCAGAGAAGAGTAGGGATCAGTTATTAACTCTATTACAATTCCTCAGAGTAGAGTAGGGATCAGTTATTAACTCTAATACAATTCCTCAGAGTAGAGTAGGGATCAGTTATTAACTCTGCTACAATTCCCCAGAGTAGAGTAGGGATAAGTTATTAACTCTGCTACAATTTCTGAGGATAGTGAAAGGATCAGTTATTAATTCTGCTTTAATTCCTCAGATTAGAATAGGGATCAGTTATTAACTCTGTAACAATTCCTCAGAGTAGGGTAGGGATCACTTAGTAAATTCTGCTTATCAAATACCTGATAAATTCTTTTTAAATATATAATATTAGCTTCTAATTGTTTTGTTCTTCTTCTTTATGATATGAAAATCTTTACTGGTCAAGTTGTACTGTGATTTTTCTTCTAAAATATTCAAGTTGTCAAGAAATGTCACTTTTTAGGGTAAAACTTTCTGTTTATTATCTAAATGGGTAACATATCAAGGAAGATGAGTAGTAAAGGTCTCATTCAGATGACTGTGACTCGCAATGTGTATTGCAACCCTTAAGAACATAAATCATTCTCCCTTTACTGTAGAGCTAACTTCCTCCAGAAAGTACAATTATCATACTGTGGATGGAGCTTTTGTTGATTGAGTGAATTATTTTTTAATGCTTTCTTTGATTTATTAATTTATTTCTGTATTAATCAGGTGACAGTGTAGCCATTGTCAAGTCTCTACACCAGAAATACAGACCAGAAACTCAGTCCGATTTCTTCCAAACTCTACAGAAAGCCACAGAAGAGAGACACAAAAAAGATAAACGAAACTGGATCCAAAGAAAATATGGCTCACGAATGAAACAGTCTAAAAAGAAAGTATCTCCATATAATCCACAGCTTCATCATATAGTTAATAAGGATCTGGTGATTAATTAGTGCTTAACGAGTCATGTCTCAGGGGGATTGTCAGAGTACAAGTAAACATGTATAGATGTATGGGAAAAAGGAATTGGTATAACTTGTCAATGTGGGTAAAATTGCATATCTGGGTAAAAATATTGGTTTGGGTTAAAAAGTATGTCGGTGAAATTTATATAAATGGGTAGTGACGTTCTAACTGGGCATCATTTTAAACAATGGTTTCAGATTGAAAACATAATCCAAACAGAATTTTTATTACCGGTAGCACTGTAGCAGTATTTTCCTGAGGTCTTTTAAAAACTCTTAAAAACTTTAGAAACGTCCAAACTTGATTAAAAATAATTACTTTAATAAGAACCAGGCATCTGCAGCAGGAGTTGATTGATGGTTGTCAGTCCTAAAATGAAGAATGTGTTTTTACAAATGTCAAGAATATGTGTTTTTCAGTGCTTATAGCAATCATGTATCAGTACTTAAGACACAAGCTTGTCTGTGATAGTTAGTGTGCAATCAATGTTAATAAAAACTTCAAGTTGGTTATAGGCTTGCACTAGCATGGTAATGTCAGCTCACAAAGATTTTGTTTTGTACTCCATTCTACTGGTCAATGAAATTTAAGTACTGTATGTGTAACTTAAGGTGCTATTGAAATCATGTTATATCTAAAGACTCTTTCATCTTGGGGGATCTATAAATCATTATTCATTTGTAAGAATATTGATTTCTCACTATATTTTAAATTAATTTTTTTTATTGAAGAAAACATTCCAGTTGTGATAAAAAAGCTGGCTAAATGCATTCCACTGCTTAAATTGTGAACAAAATGTTGTAGTTGCCAAAAAAAACTTGTATAAAAAGGATCAGTGCTTGTCGTAATTTGATATTTGGATCGATCTGTTTTAATCATGCCTTTTCGTTGACTTTCATGCTGATTGAAAGTAAATTATTTGCTGCTTTAATATTGATTCTTAGTTTTCCAATTGCAGGTTGTAAATTATGTCAGGTGGAAAATGTAATCTTGATGTTACTTATAATGACATACTTGAATGTCATGTCTGTATGATGTTTATCATGATTATATATTATATATACCGGGGTATATATATAAGAAATAAATTTTAAAATAAAAATTCTAAACCTTACATATCTATAGTCATACAAGTCTGAAATTATGCTAATGGCATTGGTGATACATTTAAATGGCGCATGTCACCACTTAAGTTAATGACTTCAGATGCTGGATTTTATCCTCATTTTCCAAAAGAGAGACCAGGTTCAAAATTTTGGAGTGGACCTAGGTCCATGTCATATATATTACCAAAAAACTATTTTTAGTCAATCGATCTAATTAAAATCAGACTTCTTAGATCCGTGCGGCACTCGATCACTCTATGCATAGTAAATACGGCGGAAATCTAAGATGTCTGATTTTAATTTGATTGGTTTTTTTAGTGAGCCTACCACACTTGCAAGGATGATGCATCAAGGTCATGCACTGTTCCACAGTTTCAGATGAGCCTAGTGCCTGGTCAATTTTTTTTAGGTGAATTCAATTAATTAAATATTAGCTATATATAGACTTGTAAAATTTCAGTAAACTTGTCCAAAATCGATGAGGGTCCTCGAGGACAGAACACTCTCAAAGTTGCTTCAGATGCTGGATTTGGCCTACATCATTTTCCAGATGAGTGAAGTAAATAAGTTTATAGAATTAAAATTAATCAATCAAATAATATAATAAAGTACATGTACCAATTTTACTACAACAAATTAAGCCCAATCAGACCCAAATTGCATAAATGCAAACAATGCATCCAGAAATGCACACTGATTAAAGGATACTTATTAGTTTAAAGTGGGACTTTGCCTTTAACACTTAAAGATAAATTTAACATCCAGTTAGGTGAGCTCTGTAATCTTTGAATATACCTGATATTTTCATTTTTTTAAGAGTTCTTAGAATTGTAGTGTTTAATTTCAAGAAACTTTATATATAAAATAATTGATCTGAACAAAATTAAATATTTAACAAGACGATAGGAAATTCCTGCAAAACAGTTAAACACAATATTTAAAACTCGGTTTGTCCGAATGTGCTTCGGTACGAATTGTCTACTTCCTGTCGCGTCACTTTTTTTCCACTTTCATTTCGGGCAAGAAGAGACAGTATTCCAGATAAGTATTGATTTGCACAAAGACAATGGACAACGGACACTTTGACGTGTTTCCTCCGTTGGAGAGAATACAGAAGGATGCACATGTGTCATCCTTTGAGCAGTACAAGGAGATGTACAAGCAATCCGTAGAGGACCCCGCCGGCTTTTGGAGGGAGATTTCAAAACAATTCTTTTGGAAGTCTCCCCCAACTGGAGAATTCCTTCAGTATAACTTTGATTGTCGCAAGGGTCCCATCTTTATCAAGTGGATGGATGGAGCACAGACCAATATATGTTACAATACTCTTGATAGAAACATTGAGAGGGGAATGGGGAACAAGATCGCCTTCTACTGGTAAGCAGATGTAATGCAGATTAAATCAGCAAAACCGCAGGTGTCGGCAGTTTATCAATAAGCCACTGTAAACTATAACCTCACAAATGAGTTTTGCTACATCTGTTGATTATTGTTTACATGTCAATTAACAACATTTTTGTTTGTGGTAGGGGATTCTTTATCAGCAGATTATCGAGTGTAAATCTGATTTTTCTTTAGGGAAGGCAACAACCCAGAAGATGTTGGCTCCATCACATATCAGAAGTTATTGGAAGAAGTCTGCAAGTTTGCCAATGTCCTCAAAAAGATTGGTGTGTATATATGCAGCTAATAATACACAGCTTTGGCTGCAATTATCTTTTTATCTTTTCTCAGTTTTAAAAACCCTGACACAGACAAAACCTACATTGTTGCAATTAATTCTTTTATTCAAGAGGAAATTTTTATATCTGTGTTAAAAAAATTCCAATTATCTTTCTCAGTGTTTTGTTTTTTTGATTGGTTTTAGATTGAATAGAAAATTACTTATTTAAATATATATATATATATATATATATATATATATATATATATATATATATATATATATATATATATATATATATATATATATATATATATATATATATATATAAATTTTACAGGGCCCCCATTTTATTTTCACCCCTTTCCTCCTTACCTTGTTTGGGCAAATTTAAAACAGGGTGAATTCAAAAACAAGGTATAATTTCTTAAACAAAAGTGTTTCAGAGCGAATTTAACCCTTATCCTGCGGCCAAAGTTTTGGCTTATCAGTTCCACTGCTGCGGCGAAAGTTAAGTGTAAACAGATATCGCAGTGAATGCATACTTCCTTTATTTATCAGCTTATAGCATCCTTATCTTTGATGCAATCAACACATAAGTTGTGTGTTAAATATAAAGAAAAGAAAGAGCTTTTTATTCATATTAATTATAATTCCAATCTTCATTTTATGTATTGATTTCCTGTGTTTTGATTGGACGAGAACATGTTTAAGAAAAAATTTACACATCGATCATACATGCCAACTTTTGAAAATTCCCATGGGGGATTTTGCTCGTGACGACAATTTTCAAAGCTTTAAATTCGCGACATTTTGTCGTGAAAATAAATGATTATGAAATACTTTTTTTTTAAATTATAATATTGATAGCACTTATTAATACAGCACAAATAATTCAATAAGTTTTATTTTTCCAAATTTAATTAAATATCTTTGCTTAATAGTTGTCACTCTATTCTATCAATTTACATTTTGTTTCTGGTATGTACCCTTAAAATCAAGTGTCACTTTATTTCCTATAAGTATATAGACACTGCATGATTATTTTTATCTCACACACAAAACAATTTGGAGAAATAGGCCTAAATAAATCATGAATTTTTTAACACAAGCCCCACTCCCACCCATCCCAAAGAAAACTTAAAATTGTAAAAGACTACTTCATGAACATGATGAACTTTTGCAGTCCCAAAATGGGACTGTGGCAATGCCATATGGGTCTCTGGTATTTCCTTGACATATATTTAACAAAGAAATACAATGTACAATATGAGTATGATCTATGGGAGAACGGGGGGGGGGGGGATTTAGTGTACTTAACATGAGAGTATTATTTAATCTAAATTATTTTCAATATTTTTTTTAATTGACAAACTATACAATGAATTTATTATTAGCAGTCAAAATCAGCAGCTATATATGCTTTGAAATTTTCTACTTTCGTTTTCAAAAAAAACGATCTTCTTGGATTCCAATTTTATTGTTTGATTATCATTTTATTGACTTTAATTTTTGTTTTTAATACAATTACTAATAATTAAGCCCTTAATCTATGTGTTTCACTTTGCAAACCCCTTCAAACTAAAAAGATTAATCCCCTAACTGCTCCAGGCTATAGGCTAAGCTACCTGTACCTGGACAGTAGCGTGTGCGTTGAAGCGAGAAGTGATTTCCTGTGGCTAATTAACTCTGCATGCTAAATAATCAATGAGACTTGTCTGTGTGCATTGAATAAACAACTCTGATATTCTTATCCCAATTGACAAAATTCGGCGGTAGGGAAACTGAAAATCTGAATTTTTTCAAATCGGGAAATTGGGGCAATTTTTCTCTCCCGATCGGGAAGGCGGGATGAAAGGGTAAAATCGGGAGAATCCCGCCTAAATCGGGAAAGTTGGCATGTATGATCGATAAAATTTTTCAATCAGAACTACTTTCTTGATAAAGCTTCTAGGTTATCGTATAAACAATGATTAAATGAAAGCAGTTATTTCTGGTCTGTTTTGGCTAAATTATGAATACAAAAAACTTCAAATTTAATTAATTAAAAGTAATAAAACAAAACTGGCGACAAACTGGATTGCCCAGCTGACGGACGCCATGAAAATGTTTATGTCACTGTCCGATCACCATGCAGTGTGAATTTTAAAAAGAACGCTGTCTCGACGTTCATAATAGATGAAGAAAATTAGCTCAGTTTGTATCGTTTTGACAGGAAAACGAAACGTACCTCTAACTCTTGCCATATTAGCATCATATTCATATTTACTTTCTATATTGTTCCGCAATCTTTTAACAAACAAGTGCAAATCGAAGGCGTCGTCGGTCTGCAACTTTCGCTATGAGTGTTGTCGTTCATGTCAACATGGCCATGGTCAAGGACGAACTATTCTGAAGTAAACTCGTAATTACGATATTTGTTGACTTAAACAATATTCGGTAAGTCTTTACAAGTTTCTTTATCGATTGTTTTGACAACTTAAAGATGAACTCTATCGAAATTCATCTCGATTACGTTCCTTTGCGATAAAATGTATTCCTACGCCGTCCAGAAATAACGGATTGTATGGAGGCCTCAAAGAGAAATAATTTAAATATTTTTTAAAATTCGATATTGGAATTATAAGAATTAAACGTTCTTTTTGAAAAATTTATCGATGTGTAAACTCTTGACATTTTACTCACAAACTTAACATAGTTTGTTAGTAAAATGTCAAGAGTTTACACATTGATAAATTTTTCAAAAAGAATGTTTATTCCTATATTATTTTTATATCCCTACAATTTATTGCATTTATGTCGATTTATACTTAACAGTTTGGATAATGGATAATAAGTCTGAATAACTATTTAAATGCTATAAATATTAATTATAATGATATATTAAATATCATTATTACCGTAAATCTGGAAATTTTTACTGTAGATAAATTTTTAGCAAATTTGCGCGTACATTGCATTCGCAAAAATATTTTTCTTAAAAATAAATCAACATTTGAAGAATTTTTTTTTTCTGAGAAAGTGTCATTTTTTTAACTCAGTGAATAGGCGTCGGTAAGCACTGGTCATATTTAAAAGAAACCTGTTTACACTAGTCCACTATATAACTACAAGTTAATACCCGTGCGTGTAAATTGCCTTCATTATATGCAATATCGTCCGATGATTTGACAAGCACTGAGGCGGTATTCCCGTTTTTAATTACCGGTATTTTCATCAATTAATTTGCCAATAAAGAGAGAACTGTCATTTTATCTAACCGTGTATCAACACGGGCGATAACTCAAACTCAGTGCATTTACTAGAAAGTTCCAAATGTAAACGCGTCGTGTAAATTTTAGGTGAGAAAAAAAACCAAATGTTGAGAAAATTAGTTATACCGGTATTTTTTTTGGATTATACTTCAGGTTGAAAGGCATACACAACCTCTAAAATGTTTGTTATAATTGATTAAGAAATTATTTTCCGTGCTAATCCTTTTGTATTTTTATCAAAATTGTTTCGGAGCGATTTTGCAATATTTACATTTCCAATGTCTTTGTCCGAGATAAAATTACCAAATGTAAATGTAATTGATTTCCTCATGAATGTTTTGGCGCGGTTCCAAAAAAAAACACGTGCAGGGCGGGACAACACCTAGGGAGAAGCAGGCTTGGAGCCCGTGGAGGTGGAATCAAAGCATGTAAATATAAGGAATAACTGTCAGATTTTTCGAATTCATGAAGATGATCAATGGATTGGCTTGTGTGATAATTTTATGCATAAACGCCTTCGGCGTTTATGCAAATTATCACACAAGCTAATCCATTGATCACTTCATGAATTCGAAAAATAAGACAGTTATTCCTTAAATATCTTGCCACGTTGCGAGTATATTGGTGGTATTCTAACTAGGCATATTATTATGTTCCCCAAACGGAGTTTGGGAACATATTGTTTTTACTCGGTTTCTTATTATTATTATTATTATTAAGGTCTTCCGTCTTCACGGAAGACCTTATAGTGATTCTACTGTTTCTTATTATTCTTATTATTATTATTATTATTATTATTTTTTTTGACAAAATTTTGTGCAGAAGATTTCTCGAGAACTATTCAGCGGTTTTCAATGAAACTTTCACACAACAAGCGTCATTATATGAAGTTGTTACATCCGGAGTGAAATTTGGAAAATCCGCTTCCGGTGCCAAGTTATGGACAATTTCCTGATTTTAAAATGCAATTTTGTCGCGCACTTTTATCGAAAATGGCTGAGGATATGAACTGGAGACTTATTGGAGATGATAGATAATGACATTGTGGTTTGCAGAATCATCTTTTCGTGCGTCGTCACTACTTCCGGTTGTTACAAGGTGTACATTGAAAAAAAGTGTATTTTCTAACTTTTTTGTTTTTCAATATTTTTCATTTATTTTCGGTATGTAAATGGAGACTCTTCTTATAATGCTAACTATATAATTTGTTTGAATATTGATAAATCTAAACTCCAGATATAAGCATTCGAAAATCTGAAGCGGGTCCAAAATGGCGGCTGTCTCTGGTATCTCGCAATGAGGCAGCAGAGCGTTTGTTTAAACGAAAGTAACATAAGGAAAAATAAAATGTAAAGGAATACTTGGATTGTCACGCCGTTGTAACGTTGCAGTTCTATGACATTCTAACGTCTTCTATAATTGGTTTTGGCTGGTTTTCAAAGTAGAAAATGGAAAGACTAAATGTGCAAATGAAATTTGATATCTAATATCTTTTTTTGCATCACGGAAAAACAGATCTTAAATCATACTTATAAGTAATACTTTCTCAAAAAAGAATATCAAGTTATATTGTAAGTTTTAATCTTAACCACTGTTTTTATCTATTCACACTTGTTTCATATTAAACTAATAACTAAGACAAAAATAAGAAAACAATTTTTTAAAGATCGCTTCACGGAATTATATTAGCATTCTTATCTCAAAGACTTGATTCAACTTATTGAGCATTAATGATATCTGATTCCTTGACCGTCGTAGGGCTTGCCATTTTTTTTGGCGAAACGTTTCAACCTTTTTCGATTAACTAATCGTGATAGTTCACTTTGGGAATAAACAGGAAATTGAAAAAAAGTTAAAAATTCATAACTGTTTCACTGCTTTAGTGTTACATGCATATATACAATATGGGATTTGTAAAATGTGTTAAATATACTTTCTAATCCTCGGATCTACTGCTAGAAGAACGTTCTTTTTTAATTTCATTGAAGCTATCACACCTTTTTGATAGAACATTCTAGAGAAAAGCAGCAAAGATAAACTCCTGGCGTTTGGCGTTTAATTTTGAAAATTGAACAGCCTTTCATAATTTTAAGAGAGAAGCACTGTTTTGTTAATATAATATATATAAAACATACAAGTAAATGTGTAGATTTACGTAATATTTAGTGCGTTGGTATTCATGCTGGCGACTTGGATTCAATCCTCCTTGTGTGCAATTTTTTTTTACTTTTTCAGTTCGATTTTACGTTTCCTTTCCGGAATCGGACGGAAGACCTCTCGTTGCTCGCAACGAGTTTTAAATCTAGTTATTATTATTATTCTTTTTTTTCTTCTTTGTTCTCCGGTACTTTTTTGTCCGCGAGTGTTCTCAGAAACTGTTCACCCAACTGAGCTAAAACCTTTTTATGGTTAATAGGTGTGTAGTGTAGGTGTGCGGAACGAAGGTCATTTTGCGCGCATACGCCTGCACGTGCGGGTGCGTGAAATAGGTGAAATGACTGATATACTTTATATAGCCATAACTTTTACATTTTTTGATGAAATACTTTAAAACTCATTATATAAGGTTATAATTATATTGTTGATAATATGACATGATCAAATTAGCACGAACTCACGCGCATGCACGTGCGCTTCGCTCTGATTGGCTGAAACAAAAATCTCAATATCTCTTTTGTTTTTTGACGAAATGCTTTGAAATTTTAAACATTGTCATGAATAAGGGTATCCTACAATATAATATGGAAAAAATTTCATGAAATCACGCGCATGCACGTGCGCTGGAATCTGATTGGCTGAAACTTTAAATGGCTATATCTCCTTTGTTTTTTGACGAAATGCTTTGAAATTTAAAACATAGTCACGCATTAGGGTATCCTGCAATATGATATACAAAAAATTTCAAGAAATCACGCGCATGCACGTGTGCTGCAATCTGATTGGCTGAAACTTTAAATGGGTATATCTCCTTTGTTTTTTGAAGAAATGCTTTGAAAATTAAAACATAGTCATGCATTAAGATATTCTACAATATGATTTAGAAAAAGATTCTTGAAATCACGTGGATGCACGTGTGCTGCAATCTGATTGGCCGAAACTTGAAATGGCTATAATTCCCTTGGATTTAAACCAAACAGGATGGGATTTAGAACATAGATAGATATAAGGGCCTCCTACAAGAGTGTATGGTCATCATGCACGTGCACGCACATGCGTGCATTTGAATCAAGTGAAATTTAATATACACGTAAATGAGTGATTTTTTAAATACTTTTGGACTAAATGCTTTAATATAAAGTATATTTGAATATATATAAACAGTGTAGACAAGAATATATGATCATTTCTCACGTGCATTCACATGCGCACAGGTGCAAAGCTAAAATTTGAATATAATTGGTATCCTTTTGGGAAAACGTTGTTAAAGTAAAAAATGCACAAATGTTGTCTTATTTATTTGAAACATAACCTGATATGAAAATCTTTAGTGATTTTTATTTTCAACACCAGTGACAATTTGCAAAAATTTGAAGCGTAAAAATTAATCAACAGCTTTTTGACCCAAATTCGCAATAATAAATCGACGTAAAAATTTCCAGATTTACGGTATACCTTTACATAATAGCTCAAATATATTCATTTTAGTGTATAAACTTATGTCCTTTCTAACAAAGCTCCGGAGACTTAAACCATGCATATTTAGGTCAGCCATTTTGGAATATTTCTTGTTCTGGAGTTCCATCTATTTTGGATGGTGATTATGTGCATGAATCTTTCTGATTGGTGTATATTTTTACAAATTCGAAACCATTGGTTTATATTTATACTTGTTTCATTCATTGGCATGGGATGCTCTGCTAAAAATAGCAGGTAAACAAGCATCAGATGAGGGAACCCCTCAAAACGACCTGAGGTCGCGATCCGCAGCAGCAGATCTGATAAGCCAGCGCGACTCAGAGTCGCGATTAGCAGGATAAGGGTTAAGTTGGGGCAAAATTGTTTGCAAGATTAAAAGGGTGAAAATAAAGTGGGGTGAAAATAACCCTGTATACAGTACAGCAAAACTCAGTTAAAACGAAGTCACTGGGACCTCTGAAATTACTTAGCTATATCTAGGGCTGGGACGATATATCGAGATATCAATATATCTGTGAGGACGATATGCATATCGATACATACCGGTATGAAGAAATATCGAAATATCGCCCGCAAAAATATGACTTCTATTTTTCTTTGTTTATTAAACATTTGGGTTTGATATATAAAATAAATAACCTAAATATAAATATAGATATGAAACAAATAATTATTAACACCACTTGAGTAAAGTATTTCTGTTTTACAACATATAAACAACTATTTTGAATAAACTGTTCTTATTTGTAAAGAAATAATTTGTTTATTTTAATGCAAAAAAAGATTTTATAAGCAAACATATCGTGATACATATCGTATTTTGGCTCAAATATCATGATACCTATCGATGTAGAAAAAGTTGTATCGTCCTAGCCCTAGCTATATCGGTAATGTGTTACAATGTATAACTGTATAAGAAATTCATTAAATTTATATAGCTGGGGATCGAAGATGACTTATATATCCATAGTTGCCAACTCACCCGATTTCGTCGGGTTGGACCTGATTTTTCTACCCTTAACCCAATTTATTTTTTATAACCCGGCAGGTCATGCTTTTCATCCGATTTTTGCCGAACAACCCGAAAATCTCCCGATTTCCGGATTTGGTTCGTAAATTAGGTTGCACTTTTAACTTATAGTTACAACCCAAAGCTTGGATCTATGTAAACAATGCCGATGGTGTAAACAGTTAACTGGGAATTGTTTTGACAAATCAAAGTTTGAAGTCAATTTAAAATGGCTTCCGATAGAAGTAGATCGTTATCAGGGTCCAGGAACAAATTGAACCAAGAAAAAGAGAAGCAACATTTATGTACATATCAATTAAGGAATCTTGGAAAACAACTTTCATACTATAAAATACAGTGATCGAAGATAGTGTAGACCTACCTATACATCTAAAACATATTGCACACTTGTTAATTAAATTAAATAAGAGATGGAAAAACTTACTTCAAAACCAAAACTGAAATACTTCCAAATTTAGCACAAATTAAACTGAAAAGGCTTTCTTTTTAAAAAAATGCACACTTAATTTAGGTCAGTACTGAATAATGAAACCTGCAGTGCTATTTTTAACATCTAAATTTAATCAACAATTGAACATATATTAATTTTTTGCCTTTGTAAGTTAAAGCATTTTTTAAATAAAAGAATTCTCAAAACACAAATATGTATATATATATATATATAATTTAATCATGGTAAATATGTCGTGAATGTCGTTACGCATTATGACCAGATTTTTTACTTTCCAAATCTGGTCATGACCAGATTTTTACATGTCAGAGGTTGGCAAGTATGTATCTATCAGGAAGAAAAAACACAAACCAACAGGACAAATTACAGTATATAGTACTGATAAAGTTCACGTGATATTAAAATCAATAATTGTGTTGATAGGAGAACAATAACAACTACATGAATTAGTATATGCAAATCACAATCTCTAAAATTAAAATGAAAAAATGACATGTCAATCCCAATAGATCTGAAAGCGATACTGTTTTTATGAGGCTGGACAATTTTTTTTTTTTAAATTTTCATAACTCAAATACATTTTGTCTGTGAAATTAAATATACAAAAACTTACAATGGCCTAATTTAAAAATGCCATCATTTTTAATATTACAAGGAGAGTATGTGTACTTACAGTATTTATGTTGAAGTTTGCGACTTGTTCTGTAGGTGTTCAGAAGGGAGACAGGGTAGCTATTTATATGCCTATGATACTGGAACTCATTGTCGCCATGTTGGCTTGTGCTCGAATCGGGGCAGTTCACTCCATCATTGTGAGTATAAAGGATAAAATGTAATGTTCAGAAGAAAGAAGGTGCATTATAAGAGCACAAGTTAATAATCACTGTAGGGCAACAAATTCTTTTGTTCTTGGATAAATAAACATCTACCTGTACAAGAGTAAAATGAAAAGGTCAGGTAAAACAAAAACCAGTATTCAGAGATTGTTAATAAAAATAAATTTTTATTTGAATTTGACATTTACCCAGTTTAACTAAATGTTCATGTTTTGTATGCTGTAGTTTGCAGGGTATTCCTCTGACTCTCTAGCTGACAGAATCCTGGATGCTCAGTGCCATGTTGTCATCACAGCTGGTAAGGCTTTGTATTTTAGTTAAGATGTCATATTGGGGGTTTATAACACTGAAATAAAAAAAAAATGCTATCAAAATCAGGAAGATTAGTTAGATTCTACTCAAAAGCAACAAATTACATGATTTAATCCTTCTTAAAATTTTCATTGAACTTAGAATCTTGTCAATAATCTTTATTTAATTTTCTTACCTCTCACAGAGTCATGTTTCCTGATAAAGATTATGATTTTCTTTTTAATTACATCCTGTTTTATAGAAATTTATCTGTTATTCAGATGGAGTTTGGAGAGGGATAAAGCTGTTAAACGTGAAGAAGATAGTAGACGATGCTGTAGATATTTGTCGCAAATCGTGAGTGATAGCTGTAACTTATAAGTTAACATGAATATCATAGAATTTTTTAAATTAACATTTCATTAATTTTCATAAAGAAGCACCTAGGTATATCAATGGAAAAGAACTTAATTGAAAGGTATTTTAAAAGTAGAGTTAATAAGTATAAGGGAAAGTGGGGGGGGAGTAATATTTCAAGACTGGTTAGTCTCCCAACTCTGAAATTCATCATTCTGCATTTTTTTTGGCGATATGGTCACAAACATATATGATGAAGTAATTAAAAATATGATATACACCATTATGTGGACTGTTTTCAGTAATCATGAGGTTCGTACGTGTATTGTCGTGAGACATCTCTCTCCATCAGAAGAACAGATACAGACCCTGAAGCACGACGAGACCACAGAACCACCAGCAAATCGACCTTCACTGAAACTCAAGGTCAGGAGAATTTATCTCGTCCTTTACTTGTTAGGCATGATTTTACAACAGAAATGTATGTAATACTGTTGGGTATTTTAAATTCCAGCAGATCTGCTTCTTGAGAGATTGCGTATTTTCTTTACATAGATTTCTTGGAATGAAGGTAGGGACATCTGGTGGCACGATATAATGGCTGGACAGTCTACAGAGTGTGAGGTGGAGTGGATGCAGGCAGAGAACCCACTCTTTATGCTCTACACAAGGTATTAAATTTAGAGTCACTTGTCCATCTATAAAAAAATGTAGTTCTTATTATGTTAAACATCATTTTAAACTAAAACTTAAGCCCAACCTTTGTTTAAGAATATGTAGTGTTATCTTGATAATGTTAAGATTATTTACGTGACTTCTGATTCAAATTCTATTTCATTATGATGACACCGTTTTGTTACAGTGGTCCCACAGGGATTCGGATTCTATATAACTACATGTATGTTGGTTTTGTTACAGTGGTTCCACAGGGAAGCCTAAGGGAGTACTCCACACTGTGGCGGGATACATGCTGTTCTCCGCCACCACCTTTAAGTACTCGTTTGATTACCACCCTGACGAGGTGTACTGGTGCACCGCAGACGTCGGATGGATCACTGGTCACACCTACACGTGTTACGGTCCACTGAACAACGGAGCCACAGGAATAATCGTAAGGCTAAGGGAAATATATCATGTTTAATGTATACTAGATGATGCTATTTTTGATTGTATCTTCTTTTTTTGCCCTCAGTCCTTGGATTGCTGTCAGTAGGGTGAGTACTCGGTACTGGAGAGTGTTCTGCTTGTTTTCTTCTGAGAAATTTTGGGCTTAATCAACTTGATTACTGTTTTTTACCAACAAAAAAAAATTTTGGGGAAAATAACATGGAGCAAACATGGCTTTATACATGTACATGTATACAATTACATTACCTGTGACAAAACCTTAAGAAAGCTGTAGCACTTTTGACTTCATAACGTTGACCTAGAAGTTTGATGGACACACAAACAAGATAGTTTTGATGTGTCAGTACCATTAACAATAAAGCAGGGAACTACAATTCTTTGAATTTGTTTGAATAGACATTTGGTTTGATACTATGACCCATTTAGAGATAACATTTTGAAGTGACCTCCAAAGTCACAGGTGTATTTGGTCTATGATTTTATGTTATCAGTCAAAAAATGTGCTAAATTTAATGACACAATGGTCTTCATGATTTTAAACGAATTTATACAATTGTAGTAGACTAATTTGCACAGATTTTGCATATTTACATCCCTTGAAACTGGAGAAATGTGGATTTGGCTTTCAGCTGTAATGAAAATTTCTTAGAGCGGCAGGCAACTTATAAATTTGATTGGGAAAGAGAAGAAAAAAGAATTTACACATTAGCTTAAAAGATTAATATTGATGCTTATGATGTGAGAAACTTTGAAAATCAATGGGCAATTTGTATAAAGGAATGCTTCAATTTCAAATTTCTTTATTAAAATCTGACAAATATATAGAAAAGTGATTGAAATAACATTTAAAGGCATTTTATATTAATTACATGTACGAGGGTCGTTAGAAAAGTTCGCGAACACATTGAATTACGGAAAATCTATTGTGTACTGTGAAGTATGACCTATGTCTGAATAAACTCCTACATTTTGTTTATTGGGATGTAAAAAATCAGGTCCATATAATAAAATCTTGAAAATTTACAACGATTTTTACTATGAGGTCATGGGATTCGCGGAGCAATCACTTGACATAAGGCGACGTGACAACCAGATTTGAACCGGTTAAGTTTGTTGCAGTTCTATAAATCTTTCCTTTCTTCAGATTTTTATGATGTTTTTTCTACTTTAAAATTGAATATCTATAGCAAGACATGTTACTTTTCTTCAATATAATGTCTTTTGTACTGATTCTGATTTTATTGAGATCTTACAAAAAGTCTATGCAGTTTATCGATCAGGTATGGAAACTATGCAAAACCATATAGGCGCAACGCAACGTCCATGCGAAACGGGGGTATTGAAGTATCGATGGAGTTAATCATTCAAAATGTTAATCCTTCTATTCTTATGAAGCTACAACCATTTGAAAACTTGTCTTTTGTGGGTGTAGGAAATTCCCGGCAGCATCTTGAACATTTTAATCTCTTTTTAGACATTTTCCAGTCTGCATACGTAATTTTTACGTAGTGCAGTGCTCCATGACGCTCAATGACGTTCCCATTTTTGGCTGTGTTTTAAAGCGTTGACCAGTTATAAACGGCTATAAAACAGTCATATACCCTCCAATTTAGTTCTAAATTTCTCCTAGTAACGTTTCATGAATACTTTAGCGGCAGGTAAAATATCATAAAACTCTTTGCGCTACAATTGTGCAATTTTTAATTTTAATAAAGAGTCTTTGTGATGTAAATGTGCCAAAATGTAGCATGCTCCGTGAAGCTAGTTTTATCAAAATAAAAAAGCTGTATATTTTTCAATAATATATAGCAAAGTTCTTGTATATTTATTTGAAAAAAGGTAAAGATTTTATGGAAAGTTTGACCGGTTTAAAAGGCATAGAACTTGTCCGCGAACTATATTAATTATATAGTCTGCAAATTCATTAAAATTGATTTAAAATTTAGAACAACCAAAAACAATAATTTTTGCATTGAAATTCATGGATATTTTCAAATATCTATGCATATTAATTAGTAATACTATTAATAATTTATACTTATGAATTGTAAAGTTTTTCATTATTATTTTCAAATTGTCTGAGTTTCTACAGCTGATCTTTTTACAAATATTGACATAAAAAAAAATAAAGGGAGAATGAATAAAATATGTAAAATACTCTTTTCCCATAAATGTCAAATTTGTACTTTGATCATCTGAGGTAGAAAACCAAGGATCATAAATATATTTTTCTCTTTATCAACAATCCTTATATAGAGCTCCAGCCTATTTTTGCTCTCAGTGACAGCGTTGTCTTTGTTTTTAGTTTGAAGGAGTGCCATTTTACCCCGATGCTGGTCGGTTCTGGGCCATCATAGAGAAATACAAAGTGGCCAAGTTCTACACGGCCCCAACCGCCATCCGAGCCCTGATGAAGTACGGGGATAGCCATGTCACAAAGTAAGTTAAGGGGCATTTCTTGTACATAAGAGTATTTAGCTAAAGCTTGACATGTAAATACAATTTAAGTGTAATAAAAGATAGCATTTTATTTAAGATGAAGGCTGATAGATGTTATTAGTGAAATTGAGATTTTTGATTTCAGACCAATGAATATTAAATTAAGGAAACTTTATTTCTCTTGATTTCTAGGTATGATAGGAGCAGTCTGAAGGTCCTGGGTACTGTGGGTGAACCGATTAACCCCGAGGCCTGGCTGTGGTACTATAATGTAGTGGGGGATAAGAAGTGTGCCATCGTAGACACATTCTGGCAAACAGAAACAGTAAGTCATGTCATAACAATCAGACCAAACATCAAACCCTGTTTTTTTTACGTAAAACTTGGAACATACTGTAAAAGCAGAAAATTTCATTATGGATTAAATTTCGTTTATTATTACAATTATCAACAAAGTTAAATCCTACACAAAATTTTCATATGACTATATATTCAATAGTGTTACTTTTGAAAAGACGAAATTTAATGCCCATGAAACTGTTTTAATTTAAAAAAATTAACAAAATTGATCCCCACGAAAATTTGTGTTTCTACAGTTCCTGTATACATGTATAAATAATCTTGTAGGGAGGTCATGTGATCACCCCACTCCCAGGAGCTACTACCACCAAACCCGGCTCTGCTGTAAGTATCCATGGAAACATATTCTTTACTTTTGTATGTAAAAATTTTCTCCCTGAGAGCTATTATCACAATCTTAGCAAGAGTTACTTTCACAAACTTAGCAAAATACATGTTTATGATAAAATCAATCAACACAGTTTTTTCCCTTCCTTTGGACTAATCCCTCAAAGCATAAGCTTAAGTCAAATGTGAAAATCAGCAGTATGGTCTTAATTTTGTTTTCTACACTGTCTGATGGGATCATTAACGCATAACATGGAATTCAGTATTTTACAATGAGAAGTTAATTTCACTAACACTGGATTATATCCTTACAGTAACTGCCTTCGTTATGGATTTTCTGTGTTACTGTCAATTGTCATCTGAAATGCATTAGAGATGATGAGAAAAATGGAACATTTATCATCAAAGCAATTTGAAATGCATGCTTTATCAATTGCTATTCCACAAATTTTGTGTATTTTTAAATTTTGGTTAAAATGTTTACGGAATTACACCATAACTTGACATGTTTCTGAGTTTAGTGACATTTTCTCTGCAGACATTTCCGTTCTTTGGAGTTGTTCCTGTCATCCTAGATGAGGAGGGAAGAGAAATCACAGAGGCTGATAAAGAGGGATATCTGGTCAGTATAAAGGCGATATCTGATATCTACAGATAATATACAATACATGTAGAACAGGTGATATATAAATCACAGAGGCTGACAAAGAGGGATATCTGGTCAGTATAAATGTGGTATATGACATCTACAATCAATATCTGATATCTACATACAAAATAAACATATAAATCAAGCAGTAGATAAAACACAGGGGCTGATAAAGTGGGATATCGGGTCAGTGTGATGGCAATATCTGATATCTACATGCTACATGCATGTAGAAATATAGGAGCATACATGTGTGTATAATAAATGTATGCTTATTCAATATTTGATATTTTCACTGTGTATTCAGCAACTAATTATAAAAATGCAAGCAACAACTTTATATCTGTCAAGAGCAATGGTATTTTTATCAGATTTATGAACATCAGATATCCAAAATAAAGCACAAAAAGTGCATCTCCATACAATTAACAATACATGTATCTACAGAAAGTATAGATTATGTTGTGAAGCATTTATTGTGCCCATTGATTCCTGATTTAGAAACAAATAGAATCATTAGGTGAAGAAATTCCGTTTTTTGTGCTTTATTTGGTTGATATTAAGTGTGGGTGTTACTGGGATGATGTAGATATTTTACAATTGTGTCTTTATTGTTAACAGGTGTTTAAGCAGCCCTGGCCTGGTATAATGAGAACTGTGTATGGTAACCACGAGAGATTCGAGACAACTTACTTTAAAAAGTTCCCAGGCTACTACTGCACAGGGGATGGTACGCTTCACTCACTAATTAATATTAAAATTAATTTTGACATTAAATTTATTGAACAGATTTTAAATCCTTTCTTCAAAGTTCTGAAATGGAACTAGTTCAAACTTCCCCTACAGAGCTGAATTTTGAGGCACCTCTATGAACCACTGATTTATATACATGTAATGGATAAATAATGCAGGTATTTACCTGTAGGTCTCTGTAACATTGTGCAGTGTCTTACCTTGTGATATCTTGATTAACCTCTAAATTTGAATCCACAGGAGGTAAGAAGGACAGTGATGGGTATATCTGGGTCACGGGGAGGATAGATGACATGGTAAATGTCTCGGGGCACCTGCTGAGCACCGCCGAGATCGAGTCTTCTCTGGTGGAACACCCCAAAGTCGCTGAGGCAGCTGTTGTATCTCACCCCCACAAAATTAAGGGCGAGTGTACCTACTGCTTTGTCACACTCAAGGAGGTCAGTCTTCTTCCTTTACATACAGACTGCCAATGTATAACTTTTCTATTGTCAAAAAAAAATTATTTGGGGAGCGTCCATAATTAGATGATGGAGATTCAAATTTATTTATATTGTGCCCCCCTTGGATAGTGCGGACCATGATAGGAATAAGTCTTTTACAGGAGAATGTAGAGAGGAAAAATCTTTAAAAACCTTCTCAACAAAGGGGTCATACTTAGTTTTGTTAATATGCAAGCGTCTTTAGTTGATGAAGATTTAAATTTATTCAGATCGTTGCTCCTAGCGTTGGATGAGGCCACAATAAAGGATTAAGTTTTACATGGGAATATGTAGGGGAAACTAAAATAATGCTGATTTAATTTTGTTGAAATCAATGACTTTCGAGCTTGAATACTGTTTGTTTTCTCAATATTATGTTTGCTTTTCAACCAATATTAAAATGTGTTTACCGATTCCAGAATGAAACATTTACCGAGGAATTGGGCAGTGAACTTAAGATGAAAGGTAAGTCATGGTAAAATGTAAAAACTGATTGCTTTTACAGTCCACCGAGTTCTCATGATTTAATCTTTGTCAATGCATGTCTGCAAAATTGATGCAAATTTATTGTACACAATCCTTTTTTTTCAGTGAGAACAAAAATTGGTCCATTTGCAATGCCAGATTTTGTTCAGAATGCCCCAAGTCTGCCAAAAACCAGGTCTGGTAAAATAATGCGGCGAATTCTACGTAAGATTGCGGTCGGGGATCGTAACGTGGGTGACATCACAACTCTTGCGGACGACACTGTGATTGATACTTTGTTCGGTCTTCGTCCAGATAACGCATAATAGAATAGATCATTTAACCTACAGGGACCATCAATACACTCAGTACTTACATTAGACAGACGTGCCAATTGTTATAAAAATGAGAGATACAGAATCAAGTAATGTTGTGATGCCTTAAACTTTTCCAACATTTGTCATTTAATCATGTTGTCAATCTATTCACACTGTATAAGATTCCATGACAATTAAATCAATCTGATTCAATTCACAGCAGATAATCAAAGATAAGGGAGAATAGCATATTTTTCCAAGGATTTGAGTTGATCATACTCATGTATCACTTGTTTCTACTTATTCCTAAGTACATGTATACTGATGTGCAATGTTAGATTTACAAATTTTCTTGAATTTTATGTTCATAGTAGGAACTTGTTTAAAAAACCTCTTATGAACAAGTTTTTACTTAGTATAATGAAAAGTGAACAAAATTTTTAAAGAAGAAAAAAAACAGATGTTGTCATGAACACTGATTAAAGTGTGAAGGGAAGGTTTGTGTTTTGTCTTCAAAGCTTGATTCATAATAGAGGTTAAAAATGTCATTAAGTCCAAATTGGAAAGGTACACTGAAATTCTGGGAGAACTGATTTGTTTTTGATTTTGATGAGGGATATGATATTGCCTTAAGCCCTGGATTGAGACTATCAGCATTACACACACAGATGGACAGGTTGATTCTCAGAGATTAGGAAGATAGAGTGAGCACATTAAGATTGGCCATTATTGACAAACACAATGTCTGCCACTAAGATCACACAATGGAGTCCGTGTATAGAGATCTGTCTCCGCGATTCTTTATTTATTCTGATTGTCTTGTTAACTTTCTAACATCTTATATCAATTCTGGAGTCATATTACTTTTATATGAAGAATTGGAGCCAAGAAATGGAATGAGTTCATTCTAAGAAGAAATATTGTTATGAGCTTTTAATCCAATCATTCCTATCTCCATAGAAATAAAATTATGGGCTTTTATTTTATTTACGATTTCTGACAGTAATTTTAACGGTCTTTGGTAAAAATATATCTGTAACATGAACTATTTCCCATTCTAATTTTCATGGCGGATCTAAACCGCAAGTGAATGCCAAATGTGGTTGTCATTCAGGTTGGAAGTAGTATTGTTACCAAGATTCCATTTATAATAATTAAAAAACAAAACAAAAATAACATTAAAGAAAGAAAAATAATCTTATTTTGTCCCTTTGGAGAGTGCCATACTATGCCCCAGTTCCCGCCTGCTACTCACTAGGATGACAACTTCTCACCGGCAATGGAATGGTATTACCCATTTGTTGAAATCTTTATTGACTTGACAGTGACATATTTTGATTAAAGGAATACGAGTTTTATTGAAAAAGCCTTTTTCTATAAAGAAGTCAAGACTTCATTTGGACACGTTTTCTTGTTACTCTGGCACATTAAGAAATCCCGGGGGAGAAGCTACAATGAATTATTGTGACGTAACACATCGAAATTCCTTTAATGTAATGGTTTAGCATGGTTATAAATATTAAAGTTCTTTATAATGCTCTTTGAAATCCTATTCCGATTCAATCGCTAAAAATTGCTTGGTGGCATCTTGCGTAAATAAACTATGCATTTCCATGAAAAAATCATGTGAAGTTCTGATGAATATTTCATGATTAATTAATATTTTACGATATGTGAAAAAAGGGTCTGATTCAAGAAATATATGACTCTTATAGTAATCAATATATGATTTATTAAGCACTTGTTTTCACGAGTTACTGGCCTTGGTGTGACATAACCGCTACTGGTGACGATCTATAGAATATATTTCACTGCGATGGAGACAAGCAATTTATCATTTTCACAAAAGTAATTTTGCCTTTAGTCTCATCAACCAGATACATATTACTTAAAGATTAAAGTGAGGACTCTCTTAGTATATTGATTATTGATTGGGTGTCGTTGTATCGGTCGCCATTTTCCTTTTCTAGAAATTCCTAGACTTTTCCCACAAATACATTAAATAGTTACATATAGACCGATTTATTCTCTTTATTAGCAAATAAGAATGGGTTAAAAACAGGCTCAAAGGACATGTCGCAATTTTTTGGAAAAATCATTACTTACAACCTTAGTTACAACAGACAAACAATAACTCTACTTTTGTGGTAAAAAATACTTTAAAAATAGCTGAATTGATTACTTTTTATATAACACAGACTTGAACACTAATGGTAAAATCAGACTTGTACACATATGGTAAAATGAGACTAATACACGTATAGTTAAATCGGACTTGTACACTAATGGTTAAATCAGACTTGGACACTAATGGTTAAATCAGACTTGTACACCTATGGTAAACAGACTTGTTCACTAATGGTTATTAAACAGATTTGTACACTAATGGTTAAACCAGACTTGGTCACTAATGGTTAAATCAGACTTGGACACTAATGGTTAAATCAGACTTGTACACCTATGGTAAACAGACTTGTTCACTAATGGTTTTTAAACAGATTTGTACACTAATGGTTAAATCAGACTTGGTCACTAATGGTTAATCAGACTTGTTAAACCAGACTTGGACACTAATGGTTAAATCAGACTTGTACACCTATGGTAAAACAGACTTGTTCACTAATGGTTTTTAAACAGATTTGTACACTAATGGTTTAAATCACTAATGGACTTAGGGCTCACGGTTAATGGTTAAATCATGGCACTTGGACACTAATGATTATGTAATACTAATTTGCTTGAAACACGCGTTGTGATTGGTTGTTTATTTCAATGAAGGGTTCTTTAACCAATGAAAATACAGGTAACATCAAAGACATTTAAACGTGGCATACAACCAAATCACAAGTGTGGGAATACTTCACGTTTTGAATGTTTTAATTGTTTGAAACAAGATAACTTTAGTCAATAACTATATTTATTTTATTTTATTTTAAACAAGAAGTTTATTACTTTGTTATTTTTTGTTACATTTAACAACCTGTTCTGTTGAATAAAATGGATAGAAATTTGTGTCAGCAAAATAGTACTTTCTACAATGTCCTTAATCCTTATTATCCTTTGATGTATATAAAGATGTTTTATTTAAATTCTCAAAATGAAAACCGAACCGAAAAAACCGAAAACCGAGAATTTATTTTCTGAACCGAACCGAAAAATGTCTGAACCGTGGCAGCCCTACTAATGGTTAAATCAGACTTGGACACTAATGATTAAATCAGACTTGGACACTAATGGTTAAATCAGACTTGTACACCTATGGTAAAAAGACATGTTCACTAATGGCTATTAAACATATTTGTACACTAATGGTTAAATCAGACTTGGACACCAATGCTTAAATCAGACTCGGACTCTAATGGTTAAATCAGACTTGTACACTAATGGTTATTCAGACTTGGACACTAATGGTTAAATCAGACTTGGACACTAATGGCTAAATCAGACTTGTACAGCGTACACCTATGGTAAAAAGACTTGTTCACTTATGGTTATTATTTATTAAACAGATTTGTACACTAATGGTTAAATCAGACTTAGACTTGTACACTAATGGTTACAATAGACTTGTACACTAATGGTTAAATCAGACTTGGATACTAATGGTCAAAACAGACTTGTACATTAATGGTTAAATCATACCTGTAATAGGTACACTTAAGGTTTTAAAAAACAGACTTGTAAACTCATGGTTAAAACTGACTTGTACACTTTAATTAGAAGAGACAAATAATAATGCTTAAAACAGGGCCATCTTTAAAATAATGTTTGCTTGTCCTCTACCGATATGTGTACAACTATGGTGAAAACAGACTTGTACACCTATGGTAAAAGAGAGTTGTACAGTAATGGTTAAATCAGACCTGTACACCTATGGTTAATCAGATTTGTACTCTTATGGTTAAAGCAGATTTGTACACCTGTAATTAAAAAAGACTTGTACACCTGTAATTAAAAAAGACTTGTACACCTGTAATTAAAACAGACTTGTGCATCTGTAATTAAAACAGATTTGTACACCTGTAATTAAAAAAGACAAATCATAGTGGTCAAAACAGGGCAATCATTAAAATAATGTGTGCTTGTCCTCTCCCGACATGTGTACAACTGTGGTGAAAACAGACCTGCCTACCTTCACCTCAATTTTCAAAAGAGACATATTGTAATTTTTAATATTTTTTTGGATAATTATATGAATTTTCATAAAACATTACTTATTTGGGAAAACAAAGAGAGATAACTCTAAAATTTTGGTAAAACTTGTGTTTTTTACTATAGAAATCAATGGAAAAGCTTTGTCACAAAAATTCCTTTTTACAGGTAATATAATGGTTAAAGCAAAGCTTTTTGTACACCTGTAATTCACAAAAAACAGACTTATTTTCCACCAATTTCAAAGCGATATACAAAAAACATTATATTTTATTGAAATATTTATGTTTTATTTATTTGCCTAAAACATAAGAAAAGATATAAGGAACATTTAATCATATCCAAGACTATTTCAAAATACGGTGATGCTTGAAATCGATTTCAATGGAAAAAATTGTCTACCCCCCTTTTTTCAAGAGCTGGAAAAAAATGTTTAGCGCTGGTATTCAGACGATTTATCAATTACCATTGAACTGTTCTTTGTAATAAACAAAGATTTTATGGCCAAATTTCTATTTATATTGAATTAAATGGTTCCAAAATGAGGCGGGAATCGAGAGTTAGCGTGCGTGTTTCTTTATGGCGTCGGTAGGTAATAGGTAGGTGGGAAAATCTTTTTTCCTGAAAATTATATATATCACATGTCGGTGGGAAAAGAGGAATAAAAAAAAAATATTGTGTCCTAGAATGGAGAGAGAGAGACGCAGACCTGTGAAGAGGACATAAAAGACGCCCGGACCTGGAAATTTCAGAGGTGGGACCCGGTGCCTAGAAGTAGTAAGCATTCCCTGTAGACCGGTCACACTCGACGTGAGCTCTAGCTAGGTACAGATCATGTAGACGGAACATTCCGTAGTCAAAATCAGTATTTAAAAAGGCCTAATAATTGGTATGAAACAATCGGACAAAATACAAATATGATTTTGATTTCGGAATTCAGTGACTGACACTGGAACATGTAAAGAGGCCGTGGTTTGGGATATTTTATACCTGTTACAGTCCGAAGAACAAAATAATCTTAGATGTGTTTGAAATACAGGCGTAACATACATGTATGCTTCTTGTAATTAAAAAATCATGCAAATGACTTCAAGTTATTACATTCCATGGCTTTGCCCATTCCGTCCCCCGGCCAAAGGCCTATGCACAATCAAACATCAACGGGGTAAGGGATTTAGGCAGTACCCAAACCTGCTGCATCATGTGTCCATATCAAAAGACCCCTATCTACATACTAGAAAAACAATACGAGCCCCTGAGGGTAAAACACAACATGGACGTTTATATTGTTTTATCTCGCTTAAATAACCAATATTTTAATTTGTCATTTAAAAAAACCCAGATATGGTGTTATTATACATACGATCTATTATGTATACAACTTGATCGAGAATCGACGTGTATACTATAATTATGAAAGAGTGCTCCAGTACCTCAAAAAGTTCACATTATTTAAATATGTGCAGAAATAAAATCAATAGTCCTATAGGCAATTTAAAAAAATACATGAATACTGCATTAAAACAAAAGGAATGTATTCATTAATGAATGAGACATCGTGATTTCTGATTGGGAATTCTGGATACATCTTTTTCCAGCGAAGCTGTGTTTTAAGTTGACATAGAACCTCTCCGTTTCAGTCGTCGATACTATATTCCCTATAGCAACACCAGCCTAGTTCATCAAACCGTCCATTTCGACTCTGCATGGTCTCCAGGAATGGAGGTTTTCTTTTTTTTTTTTTATTAATAAAATAAAGAAACCTCCGGATATATTGTATGACTAAGCGTTTTGCTGCTTACAAATAACAACAGATGGCAATTTTTCTTCATTATCTGTGATGAAGATGGACGTATCACAAGTCCCCAACACCGAACAATTTACGTACGCTGTCGAGTGGTAATTCTGGTATAATGGACCGCCATCAGGTGCTCTACATATAGGTCGCATCGATTTTCAACATCTGTGGATACCGATTGGAAAATACTTATAAATTTGCTATAGATATCATCTGCTGTCATTTTGCGCAACGACTAGTGATGAATCGGTCTAACGCAGAGACCAATGTCTGTAACGTCAGCTAGTTCGTAACTCGGCACCTCACTCGGAAAGATGGCCAATCCAGAGTGCACAGCGTGAGGACAACTTCCTAGCCAGCAAAAAACGGATTTATTTCACTGATGTTTTAATGGATTTAATAGGGAAACTCAGCAAATACTTAAACAAAGTGATGAAAGACACTGTGGATGAATAACTCGGCGTTATTTTTGACGTCATGTCGGTATTCCTAAGTTGCATTTTAATTTTGTTGTCATTTGTGCATTGTTCTGGGAACGATATCGTTGCTATTATAGACCAAGACATTTATAATCTGCATTTCCGGACCTTCTACCTATCGGTGGAGAGACCGGAAATTAATTTGACTGGCGTCGTCTATCCGACGTACACGGGTTTAGATGATCAGCTGCATGGTCTGTGTTCGTACCTCACCCAGCACCAGACCCGGGCGGTGCTCGTGATAGGCACTCAGCAGACGATAAACATTGTGTCTATGGTAGCAAATGTACTCGGAATACCGACCTTAGCCTACATGAAGGACGCAAAAACAGTCTACGAGAAGGTAATATTAGATTTAACATTTTTTTCTTTAAAAGCTGAAGTTTATTTTGAAAAAAAGGTAGTTAATATTTTTCGAAATTTTCTGTCTAGCCATGATCAATGTCTTGCTTTTAACTTAAGTGAATCTAAACCTAACGTCTTATTACCAGAGCTGCTGGTTGGACAATATCTATTTGAAACCTTATACCCAAAGTAATAAAAATGCATAGCAGAATATGAAATATGTAACAAGTTGTGACGGATTTATTTTTTTTTTGTCCATGGTCAAAATATTGTCAAGACTGGTATTGTTTTCAGTTTTCTAAACATTTTTTTTTTGTTCCCTAAATCACTTTTCATGAAAGTTTTCTCTGTTCCACCAATTCTATCCAAATATGTTGTCCATTTGCCTATATCGATATAGCTTCTGCTTGTCAAATGAAAACAATTTCCAATCTGTAAATGACAACTGCCTCAGAGCAGTAATTAATTTCATTTGGATAAAAGCTAAACTAGATGTTGTTTTAAGCGACTGAGCTCAAGAAAAAATATTTGAATTGTGCATTATTTAAGGACATCCTCTCCTCATACAGGAAGGATAACTCTTTAAATTATTATTTAATCAAAATGTTTAAAAATAAAAAATTGAAATTCTGGTAAATTGAAATTCTTTTATGCAACAATTTTAATTTCAATTATCTCAATGAGTTTAAAGGTTCCTTTAAGTCTTAAAAACGTTCTTATAAAAATTTGATATTTGTTCCCCATAAAAGTATCTAATTTTTTTTAAAAAAGAAATTGAATTTTCTTTAATCTAGTCTTGGAAACTAATGTTTATCAACATAAAATGAAATTAGAAGTGATTAATGGTGTTTTGCAATGATTAAAAATACTTTATACACTATAGAATATAAAATAATTGCAGTAAACTGAAGAAAGTACCGTATAAAATAAATATAAAATAGGAAATGCTTGATGCGTTGTTTTTTTTTTCATTTCCTGAAAATTTATTTAAGATATATGCCATATTTTAATCAATTTACCAATTTTAAGCATGTCCTAATGTTTGGCAACCTTCTGTTAACAGAAGGACATTATAAAAGACCACGATTGTTGACCTATACACCCCCTAAAACCTTAAGAGAAAGGCCCACCAGTACTTTATGATAACCGTAAAGAAAATGTAAGTAATTCAGATGTAACGAGTAAAGAGACAATAACATTGTATAGAGGTGTTCCCTAGAGATAAAACAGGGATTACACTGAGAAGCTGTTTTATAAGTTGATAGCGCAAGGGTATGCTTTTGAATGCTACGATAGACACATACATATCTGCGAAAAAGTTAGTGATGAATTTATTCAGATTTTTTTCAAAGATTATAGAATTAGATGTATAGTTATGTAAAGGCTAGAAGTACAATGTTGATGATTGTTAGACCATTATTTACACACTGAATTGTTGATGGATTTTCCCGTTTTTTCCCCAAGCATTTGGAGCAAACGGTGGGGGTGACCGGTCGGGCAGAGGATGCTCACTCCTCCATAGCACCTGATCCCACTTCTAATGTTCTGGAGGTCTGTGTTTGCTCTGCTCCTATTTTGTAATGTTAAATGGACTTTTGAGCTCGAATACTGTACATTATCTCGGCTGATTTCATCTAGCTGTATAGTTTATGTTAAGTCTAGAAACTTGTATTTCTAACTTTCCTCTATTAGATTTAGTCCAATTTCACATTGATTTCTTTCAAGACTGTAAGGGGATTCACGGATTCGTAAACTTTAAGGTCCTCATGCAATTATAGACGGGTTTTGCAGACGTTAATTGGCGTTTTTTACGAGAGAGTGGTACAGAGAATTGAATGAAATATAATTGGAAGAAGAGATCTCCATCCTGTACAGAGAGGGGAATTCATTATGTGTAAACTGGAGAGGTTTCACTGGGATGTCTTCATTATGTGCTGTACTGCAAAGAAAGTATAGAAATGATAGGCAAAGGTGTTTTATACAAAGGAACAAAGATTTACACAAAAGTGATACAGTGAGAGGGTTTGGTCTACAGAGATCGGTTTGTACTATTCGTATGGATGATTTTTACAAAACACACAGATATCAGTTTACGAAAATCTTTCAAACACAATTTGTGTCTGATTGATGAAAAACACGAAGACCATGATTGGTTGAAAATTGTATATTTGTGTGTCCCTTAACTTCTTACGGCTGATTTAGTACCAATATAGCGGCAGTTTATGTGGGACTAGGGAACATGGAGTCTAATATGAGAGAGTGGTGGGGAGATAGTAGGGGGAGATCAGTGCAGCGTGAGGCAGCTTCTCCTATAAATCATTCATTTGATTCATCACCCTAACCAGCTAATCAGAATTTCATACTGTAAAAATATTTCCGCAATCTGTCTTTGATATTGATTATATAAAGAAAGCTATTCCCAAGGAATGAAAACGGCACTTGAATAAACTCTTCAATAATTAACATCGGTTAAACAGTAGGGAAAAATCCTAAAATAGTTTTGCATGAAGACATTTGTTCAAGTAGTACATTTGTCAGTAGATTTTGATGAGCGAAAATTCTTCAAGATGAGCTTAAGAGAGGGAAACAAATTTGAGAAAACATTAACCCACCAAACATCTTAAAAGTAGTTTAACCCCCACCCCCACCCCCTAAAAAATTAAATAGATAAAGAGAGAATAAGATATCCCAGCTTTCTTTAAATCGATGCAAATAACAATATAATATTGTTCATTTTGAACACACTTGATAAAAGTAAATGCCTTTAAGAAATGAGTGAACTTCATAAGCGGAGAAAAATGCCCATACTTCCACAAGTAAGAAGTTGAAAAATTTAGGTTCATTTTAAAATTTTCTGTGATAGGTCAGTTAACATTATGATTAGTGTATACTTCATGTAAAATCCACAATTTGCTGCAATCTCATATGTATACTGAAATTAATAATCTTTGAAATAGGAAACATACACAAAAGAGGACAAAATCTATCCAGCCTCACTCTATAACGGAAAGGAAAAAATCCCTCGTAAAATAGATGGAATGATTTTGACAAATTCTGATCTCAGTTCACGATTCGCTGATTGCAATTTCAAACTAGCTTTTAAAATCTTTCAATACTCTATATTGGTTAATTGGTAAATATACAATTGTGGCGATTAATAGAGAACAAATCAATTTTAGTTTACGACTGTTTTGACATTTATTTCTAACTATACAAATGAAAAACAATTGGCTTTGCCGCCATGCAATCTGTCCTACAACCTGAACCAGAGCCGACTTGATTCACCCTGTATGATTTGTTTACCGGACATATTATTGATATGAACTTTATTCAAATAATAAATCGATCCTGCAATCTGAATATTGTTAAAACCACTTTTATGGTTACAAAAATACATTTCAAAATTACCAATTACTAGACAATTAACAATAAATCAAATAACAACCCACTAATTGCCTATTTTATTATTTTTAAAACGATTTTTGTTTCATGACATTAGCCAAAACTGTCAATACCTTACTTGATGCAGGATTGAAACCAGTCCGTTGTCTTCTGCATCATCTAAAAGTATTTCACTGCGAATGTACTGTCTCAATTTCCCTTGTAAATAATCTAATTTCAAGTAAAAAAAATGTTTGAAAAGGTTAACCTTCTAGTTTTATCAATAAAAATGCTTTGTTGAATATTTTTTATTAGCCCCCGCCCCCACCCGCGCACTAAAATTAATTCATAAGAACTGTGATTAATTAAAAGTTTGAAGTTGATTAGCAGTCTGTAAGGCAGAGAGCAGGCAATGTTTTTGATACAAACCGTTATGAAATGATTCATCCGTTAAACATCCCAAACAGCGGGACATTAACATCATGAAACATGCATAGAAATACGTGATTTTAGCCAAGTTGGAGTATCATCTGTAGGCATGTTTAAAAATACGTGATTTTTAGCACCTGTATACATGGACTTTAGCTATGTTGGAGTATCATCTGTATATATGTTGAGATACGTGATTTTAGCTATGTTGGATCATCTGTATGCATGTTAATATTCGAGATATTAGCTTTGTTGGGGTATCATCTGTATGCATGTTAAGATTCGTGATTTTAGCTATGTTAGAACATCTGTATGTATTTTAAGATACGTGATTTTAGCTATGTTGGATCATCTGTATGCATGTCAAGATACGTGATTTTAGCTATGTTGGATCATCTGTATGCATGTTAAGATACGTGATTTTAGCTATGTTGGATCATCTGTATGCATGTCAAGATACGTGATTTTAGCTATGTTGGATCATCTGTATGCATGTTAAGATACGTGATTTTAGCTATGTTGGATCATCTGTATGCATGTCAAGATACGTGATTTTAGCTATGTTGGATCATCTGTATGCATGTTAAGATACGTGATTTTAGCTATGATAGATAAGACGCCGAGGTGATAAGACGTGTTTAAATTTGGCTGGATCATCTGTATGCATGTTTTAAAATATACGTGATTTTAGCTATGTTACAGTGTCATATGTCCAGATACTAGTATGTGATTTAGCTATGTTGGAGTTTCATTTTTATATATGTTTAGATATGTGATTTTAGCTATGTTGGGGAATCATCTGTATACATATTTAGATATGTGATTTTAGCTATGTTGGGGAATCATCTGCATACATATTTAGATATGTGATTTTAGCTATGTTGGGGAATCATCTGCATACATATTTAGATAAGTGATTTTAGATATGTTGGGGAATCATCTGCATACATATTTAGATATGTGATTTTAGCTATGTTGGGGAATCATCTGCATACATATTTAGATATGTGATTTTAGCTATGTTGGGGAATCATCTGCATACATATTTAGATAAGTGATTTTAGATATGTTGGGGAATCATCTGCATACATATTTAGATATGTGATTTTAGCTATGTTGGGGAATCATCTGCATACATATTTAGATAAGTGATTTTAGATATGTTAAGGTATCATTGGTATACATATT